CAACCCCTCCGGGAAAATGCCTCAAGCGACTGACGGCGTGCCACGTGGGCAGGGAGGAGTTGACTGGAAGACATGTTCTATTGACTACGTGTCGGAACCATTTTTTGAGGTCAACAGATTTCAATTTAAATCAAAATTTAATGATTTAAAGTCGACTAGAATTTCGCGCAAGTGTTCAAGGGGGAAAAAAAAATAGAGAAAGTACGAGTTTATTTGACATATGAGATTAGTCGACAGCTTCTCCATCATTATATAATATATAATAACATAATAAAAGTAAGAATGAAGGAGTTGCTTACATGACAAAAAATTGGTCCTTTTGAATAATAGTCTTCTACTGTTCCCATTTCAGATCTGAAATTCCTCGCCCCTCAACGCACTCTTTATCAATTTTCTGCAAGAACTTCATAACTTCTGTTGTATTTTTCTGGTTTTTGCTGTTAGAATCTAGGAACTAGGTGCCTGCCTAGGTGGAATGGGTATGGCGGGTATCCAAGAAAATGGGGATGGGGAGATGGGATTGGGTGGTGTGCCTTTGGGAGCCAAGAGTAAGTATAGAAGAATGGATTCGGAGTTGACTGATTATGATGGGGATTCTGAGCAGCATCATCAGTTGGACAACAAGAGGAACAGTACAAGGAAATATGTGTTTGCTTGTGCAGTTTTTGCCTCTCTCAATAATGTCCTACTTGGCTATGGTAATTCCATTTATTTATGCTGATTTGACCTGCATTTTCATTGATCTGCTTTTGTTCTTTCAATCTTATGCTCAGTAATTTCTCAATCTTCAAAAGACTCTGTTCGTAATGATCGTCTGTGGGATAGAGTATTAAGGTAGACAATCAAGAAAAGTCAACGACGTGCTTGAGGATAGTATGCAAATGATAAATTGCTGGAAAATTAGGATCTGAATTTGTAAACGAATCTGCCCAAATTAGGACGATTTCTTTATAGTAAGTTATATATAAACTCAATCGAGGATCCTCCTTTTCTTTGACTGCTCGAGTTTGTGTATACAGTGTAATTCTTTTAAAGAATGTCAGATGTGGCTCTTTTCATTTTATTCCCCTCAATGGGAACATAGTGATCAACAATCTAGCATCATTTTCTACTTCTTCCCTGGCTATCCCTAGCTGGGTCGATTCGATTGTATTCCTTCTCTTGCCCCAGTTGTGTGCGATGAAATTTTAATATAATGAGTTTGTTTGTGTTCAAAAAAGTTACATATAACCTTTTAGTATGAGCCAAATTTGGCAGTCTGGAAGATTTGGGGATAAGAGAAGATTATGACTTGTTTGTGAGATCATTTATCTCTTTCTGGTAATCCTTATACTCAAACCAGGCAACTAGTATCTCTTCTTAGAAAACATGTTAAGCTTAACCTGCGCTGTCGCACACTTTGACGAGTACAGTCACAAAGAAAAAAGGAAGGAGAAAAAAATTATTTACTTACTATTGCTAGAATGCTTGTTTGTATAGATTTGACTGGTGCATCTAGTTTGCTATTAATATTGTTATTCATTAGTGTGAGTCCAATGGCTGACTCTGTCTTTGATTCACAGATGTTGGCGTGATGAGTGGAGCAATCATATTTATTAAAGAAGATTTAAAGATAAGTGAGGTTCAACAGGAAGTTCTTGTTGGTATTTTGAGTGTGATTTCTCTATTGGGTAGTTTAGGTGGTGGAAGAGCATCAGATGTACTTGGTAGAAAATGGACTATGGGCTTAGCCGCTATTGTGTTTCAAGCAGGTGCAGTTGTGATGACTCTTGCTCCTACATTTCGATTATTAATGGTCGGGAGAATCTTGGCCGGTGTTGGAATTGGCCTCGGGGTCATGATTACACCAGTATACATAGCTGAGATATCGCCAACAGTTGCCAGAGGCACATTGACATCATTTCCTGAAATTTTCATAAATGCCGGGATCCTACTTGGGTATGTCTCAAATTATGCATTTTCTGGTCTTCCAACACACATAAACTGGAGAATAATGCTTGCAGTGGGAATTCTGCCTTCAGTCTTCATTGCATTTGCATTATGCATAATCCCTGAATCTCCTAGGTGGTTAGTTATGAAAAACAGAATAGACGAAGCAAGGTCAGTACTTTTAAAAACGAATGATGAAGAGTCCGAGGTTGAGGAAAGACTTGCAGAAATACAATTAGCTGCCGTGGTGAATCATGGTGAGAAAGCTGTATGGCGTGAACTGTTGAGTCCTTCTCCCGCACTTCGAAGAATGCTCATTGCTGGTTTCGGTATACAGTGCTTTCAACAAATTACGGGTATTGATGCAACTGTTTATTACAGTCCCGAGATTTTTAGAGCAGCTGGCCTTGACGGTAATTCAAAACTTCTTGCTGCCACTGTTACAGTTGGAGTCACGAAGACCGTGTTTATACTAGTTGCTATTGTACTTATTGATAAAGCTGGAAGAAAGCCATTGCTCTACGTTAGCACGATTGGCATGACAATCTGCTTGTTTGGCGTGGGTCTTTCTCTCTCTCTATTCGGTGAAGGATCATTAGGAATTGCATTGACAATCTTGTTTGTTTGTGGAAATGTAGCCTTCTTTTCTGTGGGAATTGGTCCTATTTGCTGGGTCTTGACGTCTGAAATCTTCCCTTTAAAGGTTCGTGCTCAGGCATCTGCACTTGGGGCAGTGGGGAATAGAGTATGCAGTGGCTTAATAGCCATGTCCTTCCTCTCCGTTTCCCAAGCAATCACAACGGGCGGAACCTTTTTTATCTTTTCAGCTGTTTCAGTACTCGCCGTTGTCTTTGTTTACAAATGCATTCCAGAAACAAAAGGTAAATCCCTAGAGCAGATCGAATCATTGTTTCAAAGTGAATATGAGATGCCAGCAGGTGAACTTCAGCTCGGAGATGTTGAACATTTGGTGCAGAAATGACAACTTTTTTTGCAGTGCTATTGCACTACACAATTCCTAGTAACATTGATAGATAAACTGTTATGCAGCATGTGGGAATCAACAATCTATTGTTCAGATTCTGCTATTAGGTGAAATATCTAGTTCTTTCAACTTTGGTGAATCTATATATCTGGTGAGCGCGTATTAAAAATGTACTGGGGGCATACATTGATTTTAGATTTACTTGTCGGATGAATAAAAGATTATATTCATTTACTGCTCCTCCTACTTCTACTTCTGCTTCGTATGTTTATAAGTGAATGCCATTCGGATTTATATTTGGGTAATGAATGTAAAATTATATAGTATATACATCTGCTCTTGTTTAGAATCGAGCTGCGAGTCTTTCGAATATTAGTTTCTACTTTCGTAATACATTGAACTCGAGCAATTTGGAGAATTGTGTTTTGCTAATGATTACGTCCCAATTAAATAAATTTACAGTCTATTTCGTTGGGTTTATTTATTTGTCATGTGGGTCTACGTATGTAATTAATAGTATATAAGGCTATCTTAAAGTTTGAATTCAATTAAAGTGATCTAATAAATAATTAAATTGTTGGGCTTATGGCACCTAAATAAAGTTTAGGCTGGATTATATATGTAGGGACCAGATTCATTTGGGTTGTATTTGACGATGTGTCAAATACATATGAAAACTATATATAGGGTTATGATCTCTAATTCATATGCAATTTTTCATTTTTCGTGTCATCTCATTAACACAAGAATACAAAAAATATATATATTAAAGAGAAATATCCAAAATCAACAATCAAGAAAAAAGATTTGAGCAATTAAATAAAAAACATAAGACAATTAAGATTATGGAGTAAGAAACAAAATCAAGATCAAGAACTCAATAACCAAAATAGCCAATAATCCATATTCAAGGTTCGGAATCAAGATCCAATAATAAGAAATTATTCACAAAGAATTAAGGTATGTTCTGCATTATTAATTTTCTTGATAATTT